GAAAGAAAGAAAGAACAAAAATAACCAACAGAGAATGCAGATTTGACAGCTCGAAAGACAAAGGCAAGTCTGAAGCTGTGGGCTCCTTCCCTGAGCCTGTCACCGGCAGCCTCCACGTCCCAGCTATGCCGGAGCACTCACAACACATTCCCCACCGCCAAGGTGGCTCCTGAGCTTTGCCTCCTTAATGTTTACAAACTTCTCCAGGCCTTTGTCTTTGAAGCACTGAATTAAATAGTACCGAGCTCTGCTGAAATATCGAAGCTATAATAATCATAGCATAATAACAATAATAATACTTTTCACTCAGTAGGGCCTTTCCCTCCGAGAATCTCAGGGTGCTTTACAAACAGCAATGAACGCAGCCGCGCCGCAGAGGCTACAGCCCTCTCCAGAACATCCCCCTGTCCTTCCCCTCCGGTGCGTGTGCTCACAACTGAGATGTGTGTGCAGGCACGGTGCGGCTGGTGCAGGCAGGTGTAAACCCGGGGCAGGCAGGAGCAGTCCTGCAGCACCGGCAGTGGAACGGCTACCTCCGACTCAGGGGCTGGCTATTATTACAGTGACCAACAGTGATGCATTACGCTGCTCCTGTGCTGTGAAATCCAAGCTCTGCATTTTGCCTGGAATTAAGTGAAGATTGTGTGTGTTTTGGGTGCATTTGGCTGTCTCCTGTTTGATAGCTCCAAGCCGTGCCCGTTTCCAAGTCATCTCATACCAATAACATAGAACTGAACACAGGACAATGTCTGTGGGGGATCAGAAGAGCGATGCTTTACTCGTTCTGACCTCAGTGTCTTCACCTGGTATTTTTTAATAGCACCCTTTAGAAATATACTTGGTTTAATCCCCTCCCTTAGCTCATTAAAGACCTCATTTTCTGTTGCTGAACCTGAACTCGCACTGCAGCTCCCATACAACATCTGAAAATAAAGCAGCTTTAGCTGTTGCTACAAAAAGTTTTTAGAACACAATCCCCAATTTCAGTCACAACGCAGGGGTTTGTGATCACACGGTGCCTGTGATTTTACCATGTGTTACGAGACCTTTGAACGCACACTGTCGGTTCAATAAATGCATCTGCACAGAGATGTTCTGTATCAGTATGGGGGGTTTACAGGACACGGGAATTCAGTGACATTGAAGTAACGGACCAATCTTCAATGCACTTTATAAACTTACATTTATAGATGCACATGCAAACGCCCCATGATGTAAACACACGTGGATAAGCATCACCCACACTCACATGCCGGCTGCACGGACACCCCACAAGCACTGCCTGTAACTGCAGGCCAAAATTCAGCCCCTCATTCCTGCATCTCCTCCAGCACTGGCACCTTAACCCTGTTGCTCTGCAGGCAGGTCCAGGGAGAACCCCAGAACAAATAACCAGCCTGTTCATCCCATTTGCCAAGCTTTTTCCTGGGACAGGGACAAGGAAGCGCTTCGGAGTTGTTTTCTCTGTGCTTTCTCCCATAAATCAGGTGGGAAGGGTGGGGAATTGATTCATGCTATTTATAGGATTTAGCTATATACTTTTTAAGAGTAAACTCCTCTGAACTCCTCGGTAATTTCTGTTGAAGCGCTAATTACACATCCCCTTAATTAGCGGATTCTCTCCCCCCCATCCGCCCAGCATCCCTAATTGCCTAATTGAACAGATCCGGGCAGGGTGGGGGATGGCGAAGGCGCTGCCGCGGCGGCAGAGGGGACCCACCGGCCTCCGCACCTGCACCGCACCGGGAGCCACCGGGGGGGGGGAGGCGAGCACCGGGAGCCCCGCACCGGGAGCCGCCGCCGGGCCGGGCAGCAGCGCGGGTCCCTGCGCCCGGTAGCGGCTGCGGGGCCATTCGGTTGCGACCGCGCTGCTGCCGCCGGCCCTAGTATCGCGGCGGAGCTGGGGATGTAGAACCCCCCCGAACACCCCAAATCGCGGCACGTTTTCTCCCTCGGCGTGTTCCAACACCCAGCACCGGCGCAGCCGCCGCAGAGAGCTCCGGTCCCGGGTGCGCTCGTCTCCCGCTCCCTTCCCTCCGCTGCTTCGACAGCCTTAATTAAAACACAACCGTACCCGGCAATCCCGCGCTCCCGCGGGTCCTAATGCGAGGAGCAGGTACCGGGGACCACGTTCCCGTAGCAGCAGCTCTGCCCGAGCCCTCATCCACGGAACTTTAACTTCCTAATAATGAGAAGCAAACAGGCCGGTAGAAATTCGGGGCGCCGTTTGCTCCAGCACGGACATTTCTTTAGCGTTGGAGCTTCAACGCATCCGCGCGTGTTTTGCAGTTGTGTTCGTTACCCTGCAAACGCAATTCGGAGATTTCCAAAGGAAACGAATTTGCTTTAAACGGGAGCGCCAAACCCGCGTGTTCGCCGCCTTTCCCCCGGCTCACGGGTAGGACGGAGGCCGACGGCTTCTCCCCAGCCACCGGCGCTTCCTCCTCCCGCCATGGGACGAGGCCGCCGGCCCGGCCGAGCTCTGGGGGATCCCTGGCACCCCGAGGACACCGGTGCAGTGGGAGGCCCGAGGGCTGGGGGGGTCCCGGTGGCCCCCTCGCACCCCGGCCGAGCCTCGGTCGCTGGGGACTCCCACCCGGGGCTGAGCGAAACCAGCTCCCGCCACCGGTACCTGCCTCTCGCCCGGTGAAGACTACCGAGAATGCCCCTGCGAGCCGCAGCCCGGCGCACACACGCATTCATCCCTTTCCAAGCCAGGTAACAGAGTCGAATTCCCGGGGGAGCCTCACATCTGCTTAAAATATTGCCCAATGAAACGGAATTCTGCAGCGGCCCGTGTTTCTAATGCACCCCTCGACGGCCGGGCGGGCACTGGGGAGGCCGGAGCACCCCTGGTGCGTGTAGAGACCACGGTCCTCGCTGCCCTGCTGGTGTGAACACACCGACATCCGTACCCTCGTGTCCGAGTTCAATCTGCTCTGCAAATACATACTCCTGGGATATTGAAACCTTAGCTTTGGACTACTGTTTTGAACTGTGATCCCGAAAAAAATCCTCAGCTGAAACCCCATAAACCGTTGGGCCTTGTATTGTGTTAAACACCTGATTTTAATCAGGGCTCAACATTCCCAACCCGCCTTCCCGCAGCACCGCGCACCCGGCGGCCGCTGCTCCTGCTCGGCAGCTCCCGGGACAGGGGCTCCCACCGCTCCCCCGGCACTGGAGAGCTCTTGGTCCCTAAGCTGCGGGAGCCTTTTACGGGGAAAGCTCATGGGAAGAGGCCAGGCGGTGCACACCGGCAAAGCCCCGCGCCTTCTGCGGAGCGAAAAGAAAGAGAACGAGGGGGAAAATGGGGGGAAAATAAAGGGGAAAAAAATAATAAAAAGGAGAAAAAGAAAACTATTCCGCTCTATTCAACCTCGCCTGCCCAGCCAGGAGAGCGCTGAAAATTGTTTTGCTCCTTGAGAACCTAAAACTGTGATGACTTAAAAAAAAAAAAAAAAAAAAGTTATTTGAAGGGGGCCGTTTGAAGCGTGTTTACTTAAAAAATAATAAAGAAAAATAAAGAAAAAAAACCGGCATTAACTGGAAGAAAACCTCCGGAACCGCGCCGCAGCGCTGTGCTGACCGCAGGGCACCCCGGCCCCGAGCACCCGCTCCGCCGGCGGTGCCCGGTGTCACTGGGGCCGGGCCGAGCCGCACGAAGGCAAAGTGAGCCTCGGGGTTGCCTTGGGGAGAGGGGAATAAAACGGGTTTTTAAAGCGAGCAAAGCCACGGAGCAGCAACGGGCTCCAACACCGCACTTCGATTTCACCCCCAAACGGTGTTTCTGACGACAGGGCACCTCCAGGGCCGGGACCGGCGGGGTGACAGCGGGGACCCCCCCATACCCACACCGACCGGGGAGTCCCGGAGAACGTACCCGCGGGTTACCCGGAGCGGGGCCGCGGCTCCGCCGAGCTCGGGCTGCGCTGGAACTTGTGCAGCCTCTGGGTTATTTCGTACAGAGCCAGAGCGAAACAGAAACTAAATAATAATGGCAATAATAACAACGATAAATAGAGCGCGGGCGGGCTGCGCCGGCACCGGGGCCCTGCGCTGCCCCCGGCACAACGTGAGCCGGTCCAGCCGGGGCAAACCCGCCGCGCTGTGCCCTTGCCCAAGCCGCGCTCTGCTCCGCCGAAACCCCGCTGTAGGAAGCGCTGGGACGGGCGCAGGGAAGCGGGTGCGCGGGCACCGCCGCGCCAGGCTCCGGAGCTGCGATCCCCCCCCGGTACCGCTGCGATCCCCCCCCCCCCAACCCGGCGCAAGTGCAATTTTAAGAAATTAAAAATTAAAGACACTCCCCCCCTCCCCCTCCCCCGAGCCCCCAGCCGGGACACCCGAGCCGCGCCAGCATCGTCCTCCCTCCGGACCCGCGGTTCCAAAGCCCCTCACTGAGAGCGGATCCATTTTTTTTTCCTCCCCTACAAATTCTCTTCCTTCCCTCTCCCGGATAATTGTTCCCGAGTCCAGAAGGGTTCCTCTGCCCCCCCCCCCCCAACACACCCCCCCCTCCGGGCTGCCTCCCTCCCCCCCCCCCCAGCCCTGCGCCTCTCCGGCTCTCTCGCAGGCAGATGCCAAACGCAGAGCTCGAGCGCCCACTATTCCAGGCGCCAGGAACAGGATTTCACAAGAGCTGGAGCGAGGCGAGCCCGGAGAGGGGAAAAAAAAAAAAAAAAAAAAGAAAAAAAAAAAAGCAAGGAAAAGTTGCTCTCCCCTCTCGCCAACTCCACGGAACTTTCGCTTTGCTTCCCCCCGGCCCCGGCTCGCCGCTCGCCCGCTGGAGCGCGCCCGGGCGCGGAGAAGCGCGGAGGAACGCGGGGCCGGCCGCTCTCCGCGCACCGGGGCGGGCAGCGCGGCTTGGCCGCGGCCGCGGAAGGGAGGGAGGGAGGGCGGGAGGGAGGGAGGAAGAGGGGCTGCAGCCCCGCGTAGCCCCCGGCCCAGCTCCGCGCCCGGCGGCGTGGGGGGACGCGCAAGAAGGGAGAGAAAGGACCTACTTTTGGGCAGTTTTCTCGCCCTCGCCTTGGATCTCATCGTGTCGGCTGGCGGATTCCTCTCCTCCTCCCCGAGCCCAGAAGCAGCTACACACTATCTTCATCTCCCAAGCATTGTCAGTTCGGACACCTTCGCACATGCGCACAGAGCATTCAATCTGACACCCTCACCGCGGCCAAAAAAACTTTCCAATGTATTCATCATCATCGGGGTGGTTTGCGGTTGTTGGCGTTTTTTTCTTTCCTTGTCCTATCCTCTTCCTCACACCACTTATCTCTCCCCCCTCCTCTCTCCCAGCACCATACCAGCCTTCCCCTGATCTGCCCCTTTAAGAAAAATCAGCCCTCTCCGCTCCTAACCCTCCGCACACTGACCTTACACACTGGACAATATTTAAGGATCAAGGTGCCATCCCATAAAGAGGTGATTATCGTTATATTATTATTATTATTACTATTACTACTAAATGGCAATGCTGTAGACTTTGTTAATGGCTGTCATCTCGTAACCGTACCTACGTTACGTGCTTTTATATTTTAACCTGACAAATATTTCTTTACAGTAACTTCTCGTCCGTGTCTGTCTTTATTTTCTCCCTTGTCACCCCGGTTCCCCCCGGCCCCCCCTCGGCTCAGGCGGGCGCGGAACTTCCCAAACTACCGAATTTACGCTTTGTGCTTTGCCGTCATTTCTCGCGTCTCTACCGGACCTCCCCGCTCCGCACGGGCGGCGGGAGCCGCGCTCCTTCTCCGCGGCCGCTTTGTAATGAAGGTCCTGGCCCTCCGCGGACCTACCCCCCACCCCCGGCTCCGCTCCACGCTGCCCGAGCCGGGCTCCCCCCCGCCGGGTCGGGATGCGCGGAGCTTCCGCGGGCGCCGCGCCGCTTTCTTCTGCGTTTCAGGTGGGAAGCAGCGGTCCCGGGGGAGCCGGGAGCCGCCCGGACACCCAGGAGAGGGGCGAGGAAGGGAAAAGCTCCCCGAGAGCGCTGCGGGACGCGGCCGCCGCCGGGGAGCGGAGGCAGAGAGCGGCCGGGCTGAGCCGCTTTGAAGGAGGGAGCGAAGTGTAAATAGCCCGATGATTGATGTGCTGTCTTTGACTGCGGAGAAAAGCACTATTTTAATTCAAGTGGCCAGGTCAGATGGTCACGGAAGAAGGTTGAAAGGTAGGATTTAATGAGATTAATATGGAGAGAGCGAGAGAGAAAGAGCGCGCCTTCATAAACCTCCAATGAAATAGCCGGGAGCTCCGCTCTGAGCTCGGGGTGCTGCTGACCGGCGCCGGGGCTGGGCGAGCAGCACAACCGGAGCCCTCCCCGGCGGAGGGCATTGCAAAGAAAAACCAAAAACCAAAGCAAAACTTGTGTGGGTGCGCCAGGGCGCTGCTGGAAGCCATTCTGCCAGCTGCACTCCTGCCCTGCAGGTGGAACCGGGGAGGGGGGAATATTCCTGCTAATTACCGGTTTTCCCCTCCTCAATAAACTCTTTAATTGCGAATGGGAGCAGGGCCCTTTCAGACGCTACCTGGGAGCCAGCGCGCAGGGGAAGGGTGGTGGAGCAGGAGTCCAAATAAAATAAATACGGCTGAAGGGAACTTTAGCCACGTGTCGCCTAAAATGTTGACATGGTGCCCGTGAATTCCTTCCTCGAGGACGCCGTTTCACGGCGTGGCGGGCACCCCGAGGTCGGAAAAACAAGCTCTTGTGAGCTTCCCCGCTGAAACAGGAGCCCTAATGTTCCCAATGCACTGAAAATATTTCTGCCAACGACCTTGAGCGCTCGCTGTCTTCCGCATCCCTCCTCACAGGACAGAATCATTTCGGTTCGAAAATGTATTGCCCCCCCCCCTCCCCGGGTTATTTCTCCCTATTATTCCAGCCGGGTTTAGCCCACGGCGCTGGCTGAAAATGGGAGCAGAGCGAAGCCGGGAGACCGCCGGCTGCCCCGGGAGGACGGATAATAAAACAGAGGGCACTGAGGGCCCGAGCAGCCGGTGCCCCCCCCAGCCTAAACCCGGCTTTTGTTTTCTTACCACCCTATAGCATCCAGTTCCCCCCCAGGCAACGGTTCCGACGGTAAAAAGGCACGCACGGGGGGATCCGCTCGCAGATATTCTGGAGACGCAAAACACTTTCGGGGAGCACCAGAGTGTCCCTCCCTGCTTTAACTGAGGCTTCTCAAACGAAGCCGCAGAGAAGCGAACGAAAAGCCGCCGTTGTGCCGGCAGCAACGCGGCCGAGCCGAGGCCCGGGCTCCTCCCGAGTGTTTCACACTCGCTGCAGGGCCGGAGCGGAGCCTCCGCCACCGGGCACAGCAGCTCCCTTTGGCCGGGCCGGGAGCAGCGTTCGGAAGGAAAAGGGGGACAAAAGATAAAAGGAAAATGAACGAATTTTTAATGGAAGGGGACGGGGGGTGCCGGCGATTGACTGTGAGAGGACCCATTGCCTCCCCCGACGCCAGCGGGGCCCCTGCGGCACCGGGCACAGTGCGGGTCAGCAGCCCGGGAGCGGGCCCCGCTGCACCGGCTCGCTTCGAGCCCGGGATGCGGCGGGGACAGGAGGCGGGCAGGCCCCAGACAGCGGTGCCCGGGTGCGCTTCAGGAAGGAGCCGGGCCCCGGAGCGAGGTGTGCGGCCCGGGGGCAGGGAGAGCCCCGCACCTGCCCGAGTGCGGGTCGGCTCCACGCAGGGTGGCAAGTGAATCAGTGCAAAGGGGGGAAGGAAGGCGAGGGGCCGGGAAGCTTCGCGGCTCGGACAAGGACCTGGCCCAAGGAGCCGCTCGGGCACTTGGCGTGGATCGGTCCCCAGGGCGAAGCCGGAGACAGCGGAAGGGGAAAACGGCTCCACCGGAGGCAGCCGCCTCTCAGCCGAGCCCCAGTCACGGTGCCCTCCGGAGCAGCGAGCAGCCGGTCCCCGGGCCGTGGGGAACACGCACGGCAGGGAGAGGGACCCGGGCACCGACAAAGCGCCTGGTCGGGGTTTATATCAACGGCCCTTGCGCCTGTTTGCACCTCCGGCTCTGCTTCCTTGCCCAGCTAATATACATTTCAACACACGAAGGCTGCAGCGTGCCACATGCGATCCGGGGGGGGAGGGGGCTCCCTCCTCCTTAAGAGGAGCAGCTGTAATTTACGGGTAGGTTCCCTGGCATTTTCCCTGCAAAGCCCCACGTTCCCGGGTACTTTATGAAGCAGCTTTAGAAAACACGCTCCAGGTGAAGCCCAGCGTTAGAGCCTCCCGCAGTGGTTTCGTTGGAAGCCGCTGGGATGGGGCTGGTTCCCCCCACCCCGGGCTCGCAGGAGGTGGGGGCTTGGGGGCTGGCACCCACCCTTTCAGCAGCTGGGGGTGGGAAGGGAAGAGGTGCTTTGCGAGCTGTTAGGCACAAGTACTTTTAAGCGGTAAAGAAGATTAAAATGGTTGAGGTAGTCAAAGTCCGGCTTGTCCGGGAGCTGCCGCACACGCAGAGGAACCCCCTTCCCTTCCCAAGGATTTTCGCATCAATTACTCATTGTTTCTGCGCAACATTACGGGGAGATTAGACCAGGAATTAATATTTTAAAGTACGCAAGCTGCCGGTGGCAGAGGACGGGGCTGCTCCCGTTAGGGTCAGCGAGCCCCGGACAGATTAGGCGGTAAGAATGTCACACGCTTCCCTAGGGATTTTTCCCTTCTAATCTGCCATTAATAAGCGGAGGAAGCACACACACAGCCGCCACGTTGTAATTAGGCTCTGCCTTAAATCCACGCAATCAAAGAGCAGCTCGCCTTTCATCCCCGCCGGTGCCAAGGAATTTCAACACCTTTCGGACGCGGTTTAAAGCCCCGGTTCCCTGCGTGGTGCCGGCGCAAGGGGGCAGTTAAGGACAACCGGGAAGCCGGGGCCGCCGCTCCGGGAGGCAGCGGGGCCGGGGCCGTTGAGGACCCGGGACAAAGTTTGTTCGCTCTCCCGGCAGCGCCTCCGCTGCCTCCACCAGCGGCCGGGGCGAGCTGGCGGGAGAGGGGAAACAGAGGTAACGAACACAAGGAGAGCGTCCAGGGCTGGCTGCAGCCTCCCCACGGGAGCCCCGGGATGCGGGTGGCGAGGCCCCGGCCCCACCGGGCTATGGGGAGCCCGCATGGGACCCCCTGAGGGAGCGGATGGGGGGCCAGGGCTCGGCCGCTCCCGGTAAACCGGGACTCGGGCTGGCCCCGAGCGGCTCCCCGAAGAGACCGATTTGCCTCCTTACTGGTTTAAAATCATTCTGAAAACCAGAAAACCTTTGAGAAGCTGCAGAACGAACACGACAGCGAAGGACAGAAACAGCCACATTTTGTACGGAAAGAGAATTAAGTAACTTCCACGGTGCCCTTAGCAATTAAATCAATGGGGGAGAAAGGTCAATATCACCGCAAAGCCTGTGCATGCACCTTCCTGTCCCTGAGCTCACTGCCCCGATAGCCAAAGCTGCACCGAAATCGGTCTTTGCATCAAAATGAGTTTATCAGACTGTTTTTTCTCCCCCTTATTTCTCGAGGAACACACTGGCTCCTCTGGCCATGGACAAATACCGTGTAAATCGCCATTTAGCATTTTTCAAAACCCATGTTCAGCGCTAAGAATTCCTCTGAATTCGTTACACTCCGCCTTGCTGGTCCAGCCCCGGGTCCAAATTCACGTCCCAAAATAAGAAGTCGTAAAAAAGGAAAAGCAACATTTACATTTGAATATCTAACTTGAACACTATTATAATTACAATCGTAAAAGATCGGGCAGTGTTGGCTTTAAAACGCCAGCCCGTGAACAAGGCACTAAACACAGCAGCTCCGCTCCCGATGGGCTCCTGGAATGAAGGGAAATTAAGGCGTTACAGCCATTTTTCGAGACGTTTGATCAAAATATTTCTGCCCGGAGAACGTCTGCCAAACGAAAGCGAGATGGAACTGACGGGCAATGCGGTTCGGCGCTGGGGAGAGCCCAAGCCCCGGGACCAGGGCAGAGGATTCTCCCTCCCAGGGCTCCCGCATTGGTCCCTCCCTGCAGGAGGTGGCGAGGAGAAGAGGGTACGGGGCGAGTCATTTCCAGTCACACATTTTTCATCCGAAACGCGCTGTATTCTGCAGGTATCAGAACGCCCCACACCGCCTCGCTTCCCGAAATTAATGACCTCCCCGCACCGAGGGAAC